TCATTATACGTTAAGTTACGTATTGCTGGATATAAACAATGATTTGGTGAATTGGCCCTTTGCGATTGCATTAAACGAAAATTGGGATGTTGGTGATGGTGGTGGTTGTGGGAGGTTGGTGACGGCAGGTATTGGTGATGGTAGAAGGAGTGTGGTGGTGGTGGTGGTGGTGGCAGGAGGTTAACAACATCTAATAGTATCCAAGTCCTCGTCTTCCATTCCACCTCGTGTTGACCAACCAGACACCACGAGGTTGTGATTAATTCAGCATGTGAGAAGGAGCGATGTTGTGGCAAGACTCGACAGGTTATAATATAGGTGGTCGTGGTGAGACAAGTTAAACACCTATGCTATTCTAAACTCACTTGAGACATGATAGTGGCTCTTGTCTCCATCAACACCACACACAACAATACCTAGATGTTTTTTATTTGTCATTGAGTGATGTATTAGTATAGCCCCTTATCATAATAGAATCTTCAAACATTTCAATCTTGTGTGACGCGTCTCTGCTTCTCTAGCCCCCCTTGTGTGACGCGTCTCTGCCTCTCGACCTTGTGACGCGTCTCTGCCTCTCGGCCCTCCTTGTGTGACGCGTCTCTGCCTCTCGGCCCCCCTTGTGTGACGCGTCTCTGCTCTCGGCCCCCCTTGTGTGACGCGTCTCTGCTTCTCGACCCTCCTTGTGTGACGCGTCTCTGCTAGACCTCCTTGTGTGACGCGTCTCCTCTCGGCCCCTTGTGTGACGGTCTCTGCCTCTCGAGCCCCCTTGTGTGACGCGTCTCTGTTCTCGGCCCTCCTTGTGTGTGGCGTCTCTGCCTCTCGGCCCCATGTGACGCGTCTCTGCCTCTCGGCCCCCTTGTGTGACGCGTCTCTGCCTCTCGGCCCCTTGTGTGACATTGTACTCTTGGGAGCAGTGACCATGAGTGTGTTTGTGTATATAACTGTTCTGTACATTAAGTCTTTGGTGAATAGACTCGGTTTATTAGCGGTGATGGCTTGGCAGCAGCTTGGCTTGGCGGCGGCAGCTTGGCTTGGCTTGGCTGGAGTGAAGCTGAAGACCCATAGATGGGCAGGGTAGTGGGAGGATGCTGGGTGGATTGACTGGACGAAACAGGATGGGATGGATAGGGAAAATAGAGGGAAGGGGGGTAGAGATAACGGTTAAAGGGAGGATGGAGATAAGGGGAGTGTAAAGCGACGGTATGGGTGGAGGGTTGGGGAGAGTAAGGTGGAGGTTGGGGAGAAGTAGGTGGAGGTTGGGAGAATGGTGGAGGGTTGGGGGAGGAAATGGGTGGAGGGTTGGGGGAGTAAGGTGGAGGTTGGGGAGGAAGTGAGGTGGAGGTTGGGAGGAAGTAAGGTGGAGGTTGGGGAGGAAGTAAGGTGGAGGGTTGGGGAGGAAGTGAGGTGGAGGGTTGGGGGAGGGAAGTGGGTGGAGGTTTGGGGGGAGGAAGTAGGTGGAGGTTGGGGAGGGAAGTGAGGTGGAGGTTGGGGAGGAAGTGAGGTGGGATTTGGAGGAGAATGGGTGGGAGGGTTGGGGGAGGGAAGTAGGTGGAGGTGGGGGTAATCAAGCTTTCTCACCTGGTCATCAAGAGACAGAGATCGTGTAGGTGGAGTTCAGGGCCTCTCGTGACCTCTTTCTCCCCAGCCTCCACCTCCTCCTTCTTGTTCCTGATATCTTCCTCCCCTCCCCACCTCCTCCTCCTCCCCAGTCCTTCATCCTTTCATCTAATCTCCATACATACATACATTCATCAGGTCATACATACCAGGGGTGGATCAAATACAATTGTATTTGTATTTTAATTGTATTTAAATACATTTTCAATGTATTTGCATTTGTAATTGTATTTTGACACTTGTTAGTGTTACAGGCAGTAGGCTAGTTTAAGGCCACTGCCTTTTGCCTCTTCCATAAACAAAGGAAAATTGATATTTTGTGTTGCTGCTTACAGACAATTTGTGAGGACTAAGACACTTGAATTTGTTTTATTTTTGTAATTTTGTTTATTTTTATTACTGCTCTACTGCTTTAAGTTGGCAAATACACTACAGTCATCTGTCAAGAGGTTGCATCCATTTCTGGGAGGTTGATGTCATTGCCGCAGCTGCCATGGACCCCAGGTTCAGGTTGATTATTGGATTCCATGTGAGGAACTGCAGAAAAAAAGATTTCGAATTTGGACTTAGTTATTGCTGGGTCTACCAAGGACTACAAGGAAGGTCCAGAAGGAAGAAATTCAAGATGAGCTTTCACTTGAGCATCAACCAAGACAAAGATGACATAATTGCCAAACGACCTCGTCTCTTTGCCTACATGCCTCCACCTGGACCATCGATGTGGCCCGTCAACAAACCACACTACAGTGGTGAAGACTGGAGCTTAAAACGTACCTAGAGGAAGGTGTTCTGCCTTTTGACATCAACCCACTGGAAGTATTGGCGTAATATACAAAGCTTCAAAATTCTGAGGCACTTTGCCAAGAGCATTCTAGGCTGCTGTGCAACGTCGGCACCTTCTGAGAGTGTTTAGCAAAGCTGGTAATTTTTACACTCCTGAGCGAGCTAAGTTGAGCCCAGAAATTTTCCAGGCATTAATGATGATAAAATGTAATTCTAATATGTAGGTATTGGGTTTGTATTTATTAACTTGGATATAGAAGTATTTGTATTTGACCGCTAAAAATCAGTATTTGATCCAACCCTGATTACATACATATATGCATACATACATACATACATACATACATACATACATACATACATACATACATACATACATACATACATATGCCGTACATACAGGGTGCATACATACAGTGCATATACCTTCCTTGATACATTGCAGTCGTATCTATCCATCCATCATCCATCCATCCAGTCAACCATCCATCCATCCATCCATCATCCATCGATCCACCCACCCATCCATCCATCTTCAACCATCATCATCCATCCATCCAGTCCACCCATCCATCCATCCATCCATCCATCCATCCATCCATCCATCCAGTCAGCCATCCATCCATCCATCCAGTCAACCATCCATCCATCCATCCAACCATCCATCCATCCATCCAGTCAACCATCCATCCATCATCCAGTCCATCCATCCATCCATCCATCAGTCAGCCATCCATCCATCCATCCATCCATCCATCAGTCAGCCATCCATCCATCCATCATCCATCCATCCATCCATCCATCCATCCATCCATCAGTACTTCACCATCCATCCATCAACCATCCATTCATCCATCCAGTCAACCTTCCAGTCAACCATCCATCATCCAACCATCCACTCATCCATCCAGTCAACCATCCATCCATCCATCCATCAGCCAGTTAGAAAGAGTGGAACAGGGTTGGCCCAAGCCTTAAAATTGAAACTTATTCTAAAACACAATAGTCGACAAAAGTAACAAAATATATATGTAGATTGGTTTTCCTTAATTGTAAACGAAGAAAATATAGAAGATTTTAAATATTAAAGGTGGGGTGGTGGGGTTGAGGTGGGTTGGTTGTTTGAAGGTGGGTTGGTGACTGTCTGTAGATGGGTTGAGGTGGGTTGGTGACTGTCTGTTGTGGGTTGGTGGTGGGTTGGTGAGTTGAGTGGGTTGGTTGTTGAGTGGGTTGGTGACTGTCTGTAGATGGGTTTGGTGGGTTGAGGTGGGTTGGTGACTAGAGGTTGGGTGGGAGGGAGTTGAGAGAGAGAGAGGTTCACATAGTCTCCTCTGATAAGCAGGTGTTTAATTGGTGTTAATCAACCCTTACCTGTTTACACCTGGTGAGTCTTTAGTGTTGGTCTCTCTCTCTCTCTCTCTCTCTCTCTCTCTCTCTCTCTCTCTCACTTCTCGTTTGCTACTTTATTGAATCCTCCTCCTCCTCCTCCTCCTCCTCCTCCTCCTCTCTCCTCCTCCTCCTCCTCCTTCTCCTCCTCCTCCTCCTTCTTTCACTTCCTTCTCCCTCTTTATTCTTCTTTAAGATTTCGTCTCTTTATTTCTTCATTCTCTGCGTCCTCACTTCCTCTCTCCTTTCCTCCTTTTCTCTCCCTCCTTTCTTCCATCTTTCCTTCCTCCCTCCTTCCCTCCTTCTTTTCCTTCCGGTAGATCAAATAACTAAGGACTTGGGGGAGTGGGCTCAGAGGTTGCTATGGTGACAGACACTTTAGGGCGGAGTCTCAGTATCGTAGCTCCTCCATCAGTGTCCAGGTCGTCCTCAGTCAGTGTCCAGGTCGTCCTCAGTCAGTGTCCAGGTCGTCCTCAGTCAGTGTCAGTCGTCCTCAGTCAGTGTCAGGTCGTCCTCAGTCAATGTCAGGTCGTCCTCAGTCGTCAGGTCGTCCTCAGTCCAGTGTCCAGGTCGTCCTCAGTCAGTGTCCAGGTCGTCCTCAGTCAGTGTCCAGGTCGTCCTCAGTCAGTGTCAGGTCGTCCTCAGTCAGTGTCCAGGTCGTCCTCAGTCAGTGTCCAGGTCGTCTCAGTCAGTGTCCAGGTCGTCCTCAGTCAGTGTCAGGAGTCGTCCTCAGTCAGTGTCCAGGTCATCCTCAGTCATTGTCCAGGTCGTCCCTGTCAGTGTCCAGGTCGTCCTCAGTCTGTCCCAGTCAGTCCAGGTCGTCCTCAGTCAATGTCCAGGTCGTCCCAGTCCAGGTCGTCCCCAGTCAGTCCAGGTCGTCCCCGTCAATGTCCAGGTCGTCCCCAGTCCCAGGTCGTCCCCAGTCAGTGTCCAGGTCGTCCTCAGTCAGTCCAGGTCGTCCCAGTCAGTCCAGGTCGTCCCAGTCAGTGTCCAGGTCGTCCCCAGTTCCAATGTCCAGGTCGTCTCAGTCAGTGTCCAGGTCGTCCTCAGTCAGTGTCCAGGTCGTCCCGTCAGTGTCCAGGTCGTCCTCAGTCAGTCCAGGTCGTCCTCAGTCTGTTCCAGGTCGTCCTCAGTCTGTGTCCAGGCTCGTCCCCGGTCAGTGTCCAGGTCGTCCTCAGTCAGTCCAGGTCGTCCTCAGTCAGTGTCAGGTCGTCCTCAGTCAGTGTCCAGGTCGTCCTCAGTCAGTGTCCAGGTCGTCCCCAGTGTCCAGGTCGTCCTCAGTCACTGTCCAGGTCGTCTCAGTCAGTGTCCAGGTCGTCCCCTGCAGTCAAGTCTGTCCTCAGCAGTCCAGGTCGTCCTCAGTCAGTGTCCAGGTCTGTCCTCAGTCAGTGTCCAGTCGTCCTCGTCCAGGTCAGTCCCCAGTCAGTCCAGGTCGTCCCCGGTCAGTGTCCAGGTCGTCCTCAGTCAGTCCAGGTCGTCCCATCAGTGTCCAGGTCATCCTCAGTCATTGTCCAGGTCGTCTCAGTCAGTGTCCAGGTCGTCCTCAGTCAATGTCCAGGCGCTCAGTCGTGTCCAGGTCATCCTCAGTCAGGTGTCCAGCCTGTCCAGGTCGTCTTCAGTCAGTGTCCAGTCGTCTCTAGTCAGTCCAGGTCGTCTTCAGTCAGTGTCCAGGTTAGTCTTCAGTCAGTGTCCAGGTCGTCCTCAGTCAGTGTCCAGGTCCCTCAGTCAGTGGCCAATGTCTCTCTAGATCTGTAATTGTTCTAAAGGAGATTAACGTATCTCCTTCTCTGTTCTCTGTTGAGTTGGAGGGAGAAGGGAGGGAGAGGGAGGGAGGGAGAGGTAGAGGGAGGGAGGGAGGAGGGAGGAGGGAGGGAGGGAGGGAGAGGAGAGGAAAGTAAGTACAACACCATTACAATTCATTATTGTTGCAATTTTAATGACCCAAGTTTATATTATCCACCAATTAGTATGCTTCATTAAATGGTTTCTTGGATTTGATTGGCTGAGACTCACCTGTTACTGCAGGCATGACATGACGTAGATTTCACCCCCATCTTCTTTCTATCCCATCTCCCATCCATCATATCTTTGTATTCTCTCTCTCCCTCTCAAAATAGCCCCTTCCTTCCTTTTTCCCTTCAAAATAACCTTTCCTTTCCCTTTCTCCTCAAAATGCCTTCCATCCCATTTACCCTCAAAATAGCCCTTCCTTCCCTTTTCTCAAATGTCCTTCCTTTTCCGTGGTCCCTTTCCTTCCCTTTCCCCTCAAAATGGCTCCTTCCTTCCCATTCCTCCTCAAAATGGTCCCTTTCCTTTTTCTCAAAATGTCCTTCTTCCTTTTCTCAAATGGCCCTTCCTAGTCAGCCCCTTCCTCTCTAATAGAATCCTCATTCCCTAACCCTTCCAAAATTACCTCCTCTTTTCCTTCAAAATTACCTCCTTATCCTCCTCCTCCTCCTCCCTTCCAAAATAACCCTCACTTCCTCCTCCTCTCTTTCTCCTCCTCCTCCTCCTCTTCCTCCTTCTTCCTCCTCCTTCTCAAAAATTAATCACCTTCCTTCCTTCCTTCCTTCCTTGAACACCTCCTCCCTAATTATCACTCTGACCATGTCTCTACGCTGACGATCAAAGGTAAGTCATAGGCTCAACCAAATTCCAGTGTAATTAATCTTTAATTGTTTTTTATAATAAGTCAGTAGTGTCTGTGTGTGTCCAAATAATCGTCGCCAATATGACCAAATATTTTATTTATTTATCTTAAGGTCACAAACTAAATACTCACAACAACAACTAATAATAACTAAATAAATAATAACAATAATACTAATAATAATAATAATAACAAATAATAACAATAACAACAAACAATAACAACAATAAATAAATAATAAATAACAACAACAAATAACAATAATAAATAATACAATAATAACAACAAACAATAATAACAAATACAACAATAATAAATAATAATAACAAATACAATAACAACAACAACAAAAATAACAATAATAATAAATAATAATAACAAAATAATAATAATAATAACAAATAATAATAATAATAAATAATAATAATAATAATAAATAATCAACAAATCAACAAATAACAACAAACAACAACAAATAATAATAACAACAACAACAAAAACTGACATATTATTCAATTTAAAACCCAAAAAACAAAACTTAAATAATAATAACAATAAATAATAAAACTCGTAATTATTTTTATAAAACTTGAGGAAGAATAATTATATTTATTCTAACAAAAACAACAACAATAATAATGTTATATGATGAAACAAAATGAGAAACTGTCTGTCTGTCTGTCTGTCTGTCTGTCTATGTCTGTCTGTCGTCTGTCTGTCTGTCTCCATGAAGGGAATCAGAGACAAAAACAACACACGTGACTTGGTTATTCTCATTGGCTTGTATTTCTGTTTATCCTCTACACAACCAATGACCAAACTTAGCTTTCTGATTGGCTCATATGTTCTCTTTTCTCCCTTTACACAACCAATGACCGTAAACTTAGCTTTCTGATTGGCTCATATGTTCTTCTTTTCTCCTTCTACACAACCAATGACCGTAAACTTAGCTTGATTGGCTCATATGTTCTCTTTCTCCTTCTACACAACCAATGACCGTAAACTTAGCTTGATTGGCCATATGTTCTTTCTTTCTCCTTCTACCAACCAAGACTGTAAACTTAGCTTTCTGATTGGCTCTATGTTCTCTTCTTTTCTCCTCTACACAACCAATGACCGTAAACTTAGCTTGATTGGCTCATATGTCTTCTTTCTCCTTCTACACAACCAATGACCGTAAATTAGCTTGATTATTCTTTCTTTCTCCCTCTACACAACCAAGACCGTAAACTTAGCTTGATTGGCTCATATGTTTCTCCTTTCTACAACCAATGACCGTAAACTTAGCTTCTGGTTCATATGCTCTCTCCTTCTACACAACCAATGACCGTAAACTTAGCTTTCTGATTGGCTCATATGTTCTCTTTCCCCACAAACCAATAACGTAAACTTAGCTTGATGTTTCATATGTTGTCTCTTTTCCCCCACACATCCAATAAGTAAACTTAGCTTCTGATTGGTCTATATGTTCTTCTTTCTCCACACAACCAATGACGTAAACTTAGCTTGATTATTCATATGTTCTTTTCTCCTCACACAACCAATAATCCATAATCTTAGCTTTCTGATTGGCTCATATGTTCTCTCTTTTTCTCCTCTACACAACCAATGACCGTAAACTTATTTCTTGGCTCATATGTTGTCTCTTTTCCTCTACACATCCAATAATCGTAAACTTAGCTTTCTGATTGGCTCATATGTTCTCTCTTTCCTCTACACATCCAATAATCGTAAACTTAGCTTTCTGATTGGCTCATATGTTGTCTCTTTCTCCTCTACACATCCAATCGTAAACTTAGCTTTCTGATTGGCTCAGCTTTTTCCCACACAACCAATGACCGTAAACTTAGCTTGATATTGGCTCATATGTTCTCTTTCCCTCTACACAACCAATAATCGTAAACTTAGCTTTGGCTCATATGTTGTCTCTTTCTCCTCTACACATCCAATAATCGTAAACTTAGCTTTCTATATTGCTCATATGTTGTTTCTTTCCTCTACATATCCAATTCGTAAACTAGTTTGACTGGCCCATATGTTCTTCTTTTCTCCCTCTACACAACCAATGACCGTAAACTTAGCTTGATTGGCCTTGTCTTTCTCCTCTACAACACAATGACCGTAAACCTAGCTTTCTGATTGGCTCAATGTGTCTTCTTTCTCCCTACAACCAATGACCGTAAACTTAGCTTTCTGATGCTCATATGTTCTCTTTTCCCTCACACATCCAATGACCGTAAACTTAGCTTGATTGGCTCATATGTTCTCTTTCTCCCCTACACAACCAATAATCGTAAACTTAGCTTCTGATTGGCTCATATGTTCTCTCTTTTCCCTCTACACAACCAATGACCGTAAACTTAGCTTTCTGATTGGCCCATATGTTCTCTCTTTCTCCCTCTACACAACCAATGACCGTAAACTTAGCTTTCTGATTGGCTCATATGTTCTCTTTTCTCCCTACACATCCAATGACCGTAAACTTAGCTTTCTGATTGGCTCATATGTTCTCTCTTCTTTCTCCTCTACACAACCAATGGCCGTAAACTTAGCTTTCTGATTGGCTCATATTTTTTATCTCTCTCAACACAACCAATAATCGTAAACTTAGCTTTCTGATTGGCTCATATGTTCTCTCTTTCTCCCTCTACACATCCAATGACCGTAACTTAGCTTTCTGATTGGCTCATATGTTCTCTCTTTCTCCCTCTACACATCCAATGACCGTAAACTTAGCTTTCTGTTGGCTCATATGTTCTCTCTTTCTCCTCTACACAACCAATGGCCGTAAACTTAGCTTTCGATTGGCTCATATTTTTATCTCTCTCAACACAACCAATAATCGTAAACTTAGCTTTCTGATTGGCTCATATGTTCTCTCTTTCTCCTTTTACACAGCCACATAGCCATGAACTTAGTTTTCTGATTGGTATATTTTCTTTTCTCGACAGGACCAATGATCGTGAAGAATGTTGTTGAGTGGGCGTGGCATCGTGTGGGCGGTCTGGGTGATCGTCCTAGTCAGTGCAGTGACCCACCAGGGAGAGGTGGCGGCAACACGCTCTCAGGAGATGGTAAGAGTCTTATCTGTGTGTCAAGTGAGAGTCTTGGTCTTTAGTCTTAGTATACAGTCTTAGTCTTTAGTCTTAGTGTTTAGTCATAGTCTTAGTGTTTAGTCTTAGTCTTAGTCTTTAGTCTTAGTCTTTAGTCTGATTCGATTCTTTGGTTTAGTCTTTAGTCTTAGTTTTAGTCTTTAGTCTTAGTCTTTGTTAGTCTTTTCGTCTTGGTCTTTAAGAACATGAGAATGAAACTGCAGCGGGCCTATTGGCCCATCTGGAGAACAGTCGTTTACAACCCCCTATTGTTCATATAAGCATCCAACCTATGTTTGAAGCTATTCAGCGTATTCGAGTTAATGATGATGTTTGGTAACTTGTTCCATTCATCCACTACTCTGTTTCCAAACCAATGTTTACCTATTTCTCGCCTAAATCTAAATTTGTCTAATTTAAAACCATTGTTACGAGTTCGCTCCTGGTTGGATAGTTTGAGTACCTTAATGTCCCCCTTTGTTCAGCCCTGACTTCCATTTATACACCTCTATCAGGTCGCCCTCACTTTCGTCTCTCGAGGTGTCAATTAAGATGCTTTAACCTGTCTCTATACTCAAGGTTCCTAATGCGGGATTAGTCTTGTCGTTCTCCTCTGAATTCTTTCTCGGTTCTGTAATACGGTGACTAGAATTGAACTGTGTAATCAGGTTTGGTCTCACTAGCGCAAGATATAGTTTTAGGATGACTCGCTGGTCTTAACTAACACTCCTTTGTATGAACCCAAGTATTTTGTTAGTCTTTTTGAGCAGAAACACATTGTTGACTCGGTTTAAGATTCCTACTTAGCATTACTCTTTAAATCTTTCTCACAGTCTGATATCTCTATAACATCGATGTTCATCTGGTATCTGGTTTTCTGTCACATCTCTAGATTAAGTACTTTACATTTGTCCACATTAAATTTCATCTGCCAATTTTCAGACTATTCGAGAATTTGTTTAGATCTTCCTGTAGTCTTGCGGGTCCTCATCAAATTTAATAACACGTCCTAT